CATTGGTACATGTTTTATTTTCAATGCAACCTGAATTAGTAGAATTGGCAGCGCAATATGACAACCAAGCACTGCAATTGGCATTTGTGAATGTTGTGACTTAGTCTCCATGATTATAACAGGTTTTATTTAAACACCCATTTTAAGCCACATTAGTAGTACATGTATTCATCCAAAGTTCGCAAGTAATAGAATCAAAGGCTACCAAATATGATGCAGCCAAGGCACATGTTTTATCTTAACAACTTGTTGCATTTAAGTATGTGCATGAGGATAACCAATTCTCACAATATTAATGAGTGTAAGTTGTCAATGAAGAATTAGAACAAGTACGAATATTGATACAAGCAGTGCCAGATGTGTTAGCAATACAAGCACTCCACCATGTTTGACAATTTACATTATTGAATACAGTTACATTAGATCCATGGTTTGTACAGGATTTAGGAGTGCATGTCCTAGTGGATCCTGTATAAGTGCAATTGGATAACCAATTCTAACAATTTGTATGACTCAATTAACTAACTTAGATGCTGTGATTATAACAACTTTTTTGTTCACATCCAATGAATGTTGATTTGACTGTGCAATCTGATAAATAAGCTTAACAAAATTCATGAGTGTAGGTAGATAGTTAGGTATCAGTACAAGATTTCAATTTGCATGCTGATGAACTATTATTAGTGCATTGATAATTGTAACTCTCACATGTGATATGAGTAAATGTAGACAATTATGGTGAACATCCTCTGGTATTTTCACATGCAGTACCACTTACATTTACTTAACAATAACTCAACCATGAACTGCAATTCGCATAGTTGAATACTGTCACATTGCTTCCGTGATTGGTACAGGTCTTGGGTTCACAAGTTTTGCCATTCGATGTGCATATACCCAACCAAATATTGCAGCTGGCATGATCTTATGTGTTGACAAAATCATTATAATTATAGCAAGTCTTATCTGAACATTATGATCCTGATACGTATGTGCATCTCTACAACCAAGCTTCACAATTTACATGAGATTGAACACTCACATAGGAACTATGATTAGTGCATGTCTTATCATTGCATTATCCTACCGTTGTGTAGGTACATTAGTTAAACCAAGCAACACAATTTGCGTAATTGAAAGTAGTTAAATCAGTCAACGAACATTTTCTTTTGGATATGCATCCTGTATTATCTGAATTAACTGTACAAGTATTTAACCACTGATAACAAGTATTTGAAGTGTATGATACTAATTTGGCATTAGCACATGTCTTAGGTTAACAACTTAATGAATCAGCAGACACAGTACAAAGATAATACCAATTGTTGCAATTTGCATAGTTGAAGTCTGTTATTGAATGATTGTAACAAGTCTTTTAAGTACAAGTAGAACCTGATACTGTACATTCATCCCACCATGCATTACAGTTATTGTGATTGAATACTGTTATTGCTGAACCATAATTAGTACAGGTTCTACTAGTAATACAAGCAGTATGATCATCATTTGAACTACATTTGAATAACCAATTACTACAATTGTCATCAGTGAAATCAGTAACATTGGATCCATAGTTCTTGCAAGTTCTCTCAATACATCCATTATTAGTAGAGTTCACTGTACAAAGCGGAGACCAACCAGAACAATTACTATGAGTAAAGGTAGTCACATTTGAACCATGATTGGTACATGTTCTTGTAATCTCACAGGCAGTTTGATCAGGATTGCCAGAACATCCTGACATCCATCCCGAACAGTTTGTGTTATTAAATACAGTTACAGCATATCCATGATTGTTACATGTTCTGTCTACACATGAAGTACCCACCCAAGCACATAATTGATCCGATATATTCTTATAACATTGATCATAATTCAAAGCATCAGAACAATTAGTTGGTTTATCTGCACAAGTTGTGGGTTTATTAACTGTACATGATGTCATCCATGCATAACAAGAGGAATGATTGAATTCAGTGATTCCTTGAGTGGTTGTACATGTTCTATTTACACAATTAGACCCATTCCAGTAGCATTAGACATTTGATGATGAATATGTGCAATTAGCTGAATATGAATATTAAGAACAGAAGGATTGTAATGCCATGCAACCAGTAGGAACAGCTACATTATTCACAACACATGTAGATAACCAATTAGCACAATTTGCAGGAGTAAAGTTACTAATTCCAATTGTCAAACTGCAAGTTCTATTTAAACAGTAAGGAGGATCTGCAGTTGTGTTCCAAGTACAGATAGTACCAGCACTATCTTTTACACATTGATATTATGATAGTTCATTGCAAGTTGCTTTCCTGATGGTACAACCATTACCACCTATTCTACGGACTACATTGCATCTATTATCATAACCATGACATTCACTTTTATCATCATAGCTGGTTGTATCTGGTGAATAGATACACTATCTGTCTAAGCATGAGGTTACATACCATGAGCACTTATTTCCATTCAAAATCTATTCACATTATCTCTGAGATGTGTAAGCACTGCAATTTGTTTACATAGTCATACATCCTCCTGTTCCTGTGGCCACAACAGTACAAGTATTCAAAAAAGTATTGCATTTTGTAAATGTGTTATAATCTGTACTTGCAGGAGCATTGCTGCAAGTTCTATCAACGCAAGTTCCAATCCAAGCACAAGGACCTCCAGAGGCATTTGTGGATGTAGCAGTACATTAAGTGGTAGTGGTCATTTAAGAACAATTTGCTGGCTTTGGAATGCAACCACTTGCAGCATTATTAACAATACAACCTGTGAGATATGCGTTACATTAATCATTATTAGTATGTGTATTGTCAGCAGTTTGACAACTCTTATTAGCACATACTCCATTTTTCCATTGACAAATATTGTTGTTAATATCGAATCTACAACTATTTGAGTTTTGATATTGATCACAAGTGTTTAATGGTTGACAACCACTTCCAGTTGTTGTACATCCAGTTAGATATGAATTACAGTCCTCATATGTTTACAGTATACTGGGAGCAGTATAACATTCCTTCTTTCTGCATGAATCTCCATACCATTCACAAGCGACATTATAAGAGTTGGTGACACATTATTATGGTATCTTCATCTCACTACATTGATATGGTCTATTCATACATCCCATACCAGTATTTCTGACTGTACATTTACTCAGATATGATTTGCACTAAGCATCAGTCACAAAATTGTTATTCACTGGAGCATTTTCACAAGTCTTATCGAAACACAACCCAGTCCAATAACAATTATTGCCCAATGAATCTGCCATACAGTTCTCCTTCTAGAATATAACATCACAAGTCATGTCGATACATCCATTTAAAGTCCTCTTTACAGTACACAATTTGGAATAAGTTTGACATTACTCATGTGTGTTATACACGATTGGTGCATTGCTACAAGTTTTTAATCTACATTAATCTTGATACCAGAAGCATTCTCTCCCTTATTAATCTAATAAACAAGCTTCCTTTAATTTAATATTGATGCACTCCTAATTCTGAACACATCCTCCATTTAATTTAGTTATACAACCAGATTTATATTATTCACAATCATAATTAGTATTCAATTCCTTTGGAGCATTATCACAGGTTCTATCCACACAACCATTTTTAGATGCATTAACTGTGCAATCCAATTTGTAATCTGAACATTTCTAATGAGTGTTGTAACTTATGTCTGCATTGCTACAACTATATTGAACACAAGATTTAACATTCCAAGAACATTTCAACAATCCACTCTAACAACTGGTTTCATCTATAAAATCTTCACATTTACTATAGGTATGACAACCACCATTCAAATTAGGTACACAACCATTTAAGAATTGTTAGCATTCCTCGAATGTTCTTAATAATTCAGATGCATTGCTACAAACTCTCTCAACACATTCCGAATCCTTCCAATAACACTATTTACCATTCTTATCAATATTACAAGCTTCACTAGTTGTGATATCCACACAATTTCCAAGGTCATCACATCCTCCACCATTTGTTAAGATACATCCTTATAAATAAGAATTACAGTCCTCATTATTCTTTATACTGATCGGAGCAGATTAACAAGATCTGTTGCCACAAGATAAACCATTCCAATTACATTTCACCTGCATGAATCTATCCCAAACACATTGCTATTCACCTTCCTGATTTGAACATGCCCATCCACTCAATTAACATCCACCTTAAGATGAAACTGTGCAATCACTATTCACTGCTCTACACTCAGCATCACTTTTCAATGATTTTGGCAATTAACCACAATCCACACTCTTTTAACAAATCTCATTCTCCCAATAACAATAGTTCCCTTCTGTATCTTATCCACATGATAAAGCTGTCTTGTAATCAGAACACTGTCCTATCTCCACGCATTTCTCTCCATCTGTTATACACTTTCGAGATATTGCTTAGCATAATTCATTTGTAATCTATAGATATACACTACAAGCACTAAACTCAACACATTTGTCAACCAAAAATGCACATCCTGATTAACTACTGCAATTCTGCTAATTAAATTGAGAACAAAATGTTTCACTATCTCCTTCATATATTATCTCCTATTTTAACTTCACTTGGCATTCTCCATCCTTCCACTGACAACCTTATTTTATGCAATCATCCTGCACCATCAGCTGTAAGCATTCGCATTCATAGTCACTCCCCAAATTGATCTCTTTCCCAATCAACACCCCACTTAAAAGAAGCAAAGCCAATATCAAATGTTTCATATTATTATATATATTACTCTTAGAATCAATTATTTCAATAAACCATAATTCAATTCAAATTCTTCTATTTCATTATATAAAATATTTTTCATTATTTGGTACCAAAAAATCTTTTTTTTATACAATTATTAAACCAACTCTAACTCTAATCCCCATTGACTATGACATTCCAAACTCATTAGTAACACTAAAATTTATTTCTGTATATTTAAAAAAAAAACTAATAAATAATCATTCTCCTATGAATCATATGTATAAACCAATAGTAGTTTGCTATCCAATTAACTCTTTGATGTTATTATAATTAACTTTCCTAAAAAAAAAGATTGTTCACATTCAATATTGTAAAAACTCTGAACTATTATATTATATAAAAAACGAATTCAACTATGATTCATCAGAAGATTGTTTTCTTAGCCCTGATTTGTTTAGTTTCAGGAACAACAGTTATGAAGTAAGTTATAGATTGGTTAACTTAAATAGTAATTAAGAGGTGTGATGGATTCGTATGTTAATCCAGGTGTGTAATCTTCAATAGATGAATTAACATAATCAAAGATTGGACATATGGTTATTGATTTAGCTGAAGTTACAATGAGAGTTACTGGAGCTGTAGATTCATTAGTAGAGGGAGTCAAAGCCTTTGGTCGTCAAATTGAAGAGAGATTGAATTTGGAAAATACACAATGGGAAGTTGTTGAAAGTGAACATAATGCTAAAGTTATTTCACTCAGTTCATAAGCCAATCAAGCTGAATTTGATATCAATAGAGAAAAGAAAGTATTGAATTCAGAATTGATTCCAAGATTGCATGAATTAGATGATGTATATTATAATCATTATCATATTATAGATCTTATTAGGACTCAAAGCCAAATAAACAGACAACACTTAATCATTCAAAGAAGCTGAAGCAGCTAGAAATACATAACATGATTCATTTGTATTGACCACAACAGAATTTACTGATGCTTTAAGAAATATAGATGAAGCATTAGATTTATTAACTGATCTATTCAAAAGTGGAGAAGTTAGAGCTGCTTTCATTGAAGTATCTGATGAATAGAAACACAAAGTCAACAAAGCTTTAAGATAAGTCAAAGCTAATACTGAGAATTTTGGACATCAATATTCATCATTCATCTAAGCATTAACTAATTTAACAGAAGGAATCAACTTCAAAGATAGATAAGTATTAAAAGAAATGTGTGATTTCTTGAATAGTTTAAGATTGAATATCTTTGATGCCTTGACTAAAGCTTATAAAGATGAAGACAGTTAAAAATAATAAGATGAATTAAGAAGATCATAATTGACAGCTGAAAAAGCAGTATTTGATTAATAATATGCTGATTTCTATTAAGAAAGAGAAGATAAAACAGTTAGAATTTCTGATGTTGAAACTTTGATCTCAACTAGACAAGCTGATCTTAAAGCTTATTAAGATAGATTAAGAACTGAAAATAATAATTATTCTGCCAATCTTAAAATTCATGATGATATTGTGGTAAATCTATATTCTTATATATCATTAGTCATCTGTCTAATAAGAATTAGCAGTCTTAGCAAAGGCATTGTAAGTGGTCCAAACTCCACCATTCTTAGATTTCTTAAATGGAAGAATTGCTAAAGCATGATTTTATAACATTTAATAATGTTGTAAAATAATTTATTAATCATTTCTGACTTTATCGTTCTGTTTTCTAAGGCATAATTTTTTTAATTTTAAAGTCATCTGTTTTTGAAATATGTTATAATTAAAGCAAATGTATGATGTCTGATTTTTACTGATTTGCATCCTCAAGTATAGTATTTTAGGAATTTAGATTCAAATTTGAGAAAGTTTTCACAGAAATCTTTTTACCATTAAGACTTAAATATTGTGAAGCTTCTTCGAACATGATTGCATCATAGCTATCTTAAGAATTCGCATCAATGATCTTTGCTCTGAGACAGAAAGCAAGTTTATATTCAGTATTTTATTTGCAATTTATACAATACAAACCACCTTTCTCTTATTCCATCTTAGTACTACAAATTTTGCATTAATGGAACCATCTTTTTCTGTCTTCTAAATCTAAAATAATTTTGCAATTGTGTTCAAAAGAATCCCAAAGTGTCCTGTGTCCTGAGTCCAAACGTTGTCTAATTGTATGAAAATGGTCTATAATTTCACAGGATTGTACACCTAATAATTGGCCTTACTTTTCCTTATAAATAACTTTGAGAGTTCTTTTAAATTTCTTGTTTTAGAGTAATTGTTAAAGATTGGTTTTAAATTGTTCGTTTTCAATTATGTTTCCCATATTTCTATTATTATTTTAATATTATAAATGAATTAGTCCTTGTTTGAAAGTAATTTTATCAATAAGCAGCATATTTGTGAATATTTTGGAAATGTGGTACATATATGATATCATAGGTTTTATTAGCAACTGATTATTTAGGGGAGACTGTCTTAATCTTTTGCAATGGTGAAATACTAACCTATTAGTTGATTTAGTAGAAATAATGGGTGAATACTTCTTTATTGAAGGTGACTCCTTAACCAGAAATATTATCACTTAATGATTACAGGTTATAATTAAGTGGGAATGGACGTAAGTTCTTCCTTCTGCAAGTCGATGATCGACACGAATTCAATGTATCAATTTGGCATCGAGGTCACAAAGCCAAATGGATATTCTAACAGAGTTTAAAACTCATTTCACATAGCAGTTTCATGTCAATAAATTTATCTGGAGATGCCCTTATGATTAGGCAATCTAACAGGATAATACTTTGGGAATTCAATTAACCATAAACCAAGATCGCTCGAAGATAATCCTTACCTTTTGAGACCTATTTAGCTTACTTCAATGAGAATAATAATGTTATAGCAGCAAAAGTGAAAAACAGTGTAGCTCTTCTAAAAAAACTCAATTGTATGTGGGTTAAGTATTAGAATATAAAGACCGAATAGGTAGCTTATATGCAATTTTACAAAAACAAGTTGATTATAATGAGTCATTTCTTATAAATTTACAAGATGAATGAATAGTTACACTTTCAGCTGGACAAAAAAATAAATTCTAAATTTTTTAATAATGAACCACAGTTCTGCTTATATATGGGATCAATAGTTCTCGCTTAATTGTCATCTTAGGATTTAGAGTATCATAAATTAGAAAACAATGTTTGGTTGTAAGACGAGGAGTATATTACTGGAAGATTTGAGGCACAATAGATAGTGTAATCGAAGGACAAGAAAAAATTGTTCTTTTATCGAAAACGATTTGGTGGAATAGTTTTCGAGAAGAAAAATAAAATTAAATAGAAAATTTAAGAATGAATTTTTAATATTCTTTGGTTAAATGACTTTACCACAAATAATTTTAATTTATGAAAAAAGGACTCATCCGTCTCTCTTCTAACTATCTACTAAGACAATCTAAGTTATTTAGCACCAACAATCGATTAGTCTTCAGATTCTGTTCAGCAAAATAAGAAAAGCATGAATTCAAAGCAGAAACCAAGAAATTACTTGACATCGTTGCTAAATCCATTTACACTGACAAGGATGTTTTCTTAAGAGAATTGCTCTCCAATGCCTCAGATGCCTTAGAAAAACAAAGATTCTTGGCAACTTAAAAGGGAGAGTAAGTTCCATCAGATCTAGAAATAAAGATTGATTTAGATGAATAAAAGAGAACAATCACAATTGAAGTAAATGAGTATATACTATTCAAAAGGACTCTGGTATAGGTATGACAAAATAAGAGATGATTGACAATCTTGGAACAATTGCAAGAAGTGGTTCAAAGTAATTCTTAGAGCAAGTTGGATCATAAATGAACGATAAGATCATTGGTTAATTTGGTGTTGGATTCTATTCCTCATTTATTGTAGGAGACACTGTAGAAGTAGTGAGTAAAAGTGAAAGATCAGATAAGACTTATGTTTGGGTATCAGATGGAACAGGAACATTTGAAATTTCAGAAGCAAAGGATTATTTCCAAGGAAGAGGAACTAAAATAACTATCCATCTCAGACCAGATTAGGCTATTTTCAGTAAGAAGGCTGAAGTGCTTAAGACTATCCAGAGATACTCTAATTTCATCAATTATCCAATCGTTGTGAATGGAGAGAGATAAAACATTGTATCAGCCATTTGGGTGAGAAACAAGAACGAAATCACTCCAGAAGACTATAATAAATTCTATGAATACATTTCAAATTCTAAACTTGCTTACAAATATAAACTTCATTATTCTACAGATGCTCCTCTATCAATCAAAGCCTTGTTGTACATTCCATAAACACATATGGAGAAGTAATTTTTTTAATTGTTATTTCTAGATATGGTATGTAAATGGAAGAATTCGATATCAGTCTTTATTGTAAGAAGATATTGATAAGGAAGAACTGCAGAGAACTCCTACCACATTTCCTTAGATTTGTCAAAGGAGTTGTGGATTGTGAAGATCTCCCCTTAAATATTTCAAGAGAGGGCTATCAAGATACAGCCTTGATTGCTAAACTCAAATCTGTAGTTGCCAAAAGAATTATCAAAAGAAATTGAATCAGAGGCTCTCAGAGATCCGGCAAGTTACCTTGCTTGGTATTAGGACTTTTAGAACTTCATTAAAGAAGGAGTTGCTATGGATGATGAACATAGAAACTCTATGACTAAACTATTGAGATTCTAAACAAACAAATCAGAAGACTTCATTTCTTTGGATGATTACATTTCTAAATTACCTCAAGGCATCAACAACATCTATTATTATCTTGCTCCAACAAGACAATAAGCTCTAACATCACCATATATGGAACCATTTTCTAATTCAGAAATTCCTGTCATTTTGACAATGAATCATATGGATGAAGTTGTATTCAAATAAATAAATGAATATTCATCAAAAAAGTTTGTTAATATTGAAAGTGATTAAGCTGAAGTTGACAAGGTTGCTTAAAAATCAACTGAAGAAAATGAAAAAAAGGAGGAAACTAATGTTGAAACAACAATACCTAATGATGAAATCACACCATTCTGTTTATGGTTAAAGAATGAATTGAATCCGATTATCTCTTAAGTTCAAATCTCTAAAAGATTAAAGACTTCCCCTGCTATCATTGTTTCTGCAATATCATCTGGAATGAGATAAGTCATGCATGCTATGGGACAATCTACTGTATTATTTAATATCTATATTTTAGGATGACTTAAAGAACTTGACTCTAGAAATCAATGTATAAAATCCAATCATTGTTAATTTAAATAAAGTGAGAAAATCTAACAGAGTTATTGCCTCTTTAGCAAGCAAATAAATTTTGGATGGTTGTCTCTTGTCTTCTGGATTATTAAGAGACCCAAAGGAAGTCGTTGAAAGATAACATAAAATCTTAAATGTTTTATTAACATCTGAAATGTATATATTTTTATAAATGAAATTAGCAACACACCAATTATTGAAGAAGTTGGAGCATATAGAGAGGAGGCTGTTAAGTAGAAGGATTCAAAGAAGGATGATTTGGATACAGAAATTATCATTGACAGTGATGGTAATCCCTAAGTTGTTAAAAAGAATAAAAAATGAATAGTATTGTATATTAAAGATATTACGTTTATAAGAATTTAGTGTTACTTTTATTAATAATTCAAGATTTCATTCGGTGATTCATAACACCTATTAAATAATTTAATTGAATTTTTTTAAGATTTCTCTATTTCTATTTATTTTTGATTCTTCCTTTGTTATTTTCTCTTCCATCTTTTTAGCATTCTTAATGACATCACTTGGAATGCCTGCAATCTTAGCTACATTTGTAGCAAAGCTCTTCTCTGCTACTCCATTTATTAGTTTATATTCAAAGACCACTTTATCCATTTCCTGATAATGCTTCATCACACATTATTGAATGTTCTTGAATAAAGCAAACTCATCCAACAGAATGTGATAATGAGTAGCAAAAATTGTCTTAGGTTTAATCTTTTAAGATAAATATCTCAGAACAGCAGAGGCCAATGCTACTCCATCATATGTTGAGGTTCCTCTACCTAATTCATCCATTATCACTAAGCTTCTAGAAGTGCAATGTTCTAAAATGGTCTTCGTCTCTTCAAGTTCAATGAAGAAAGTTGATTTGCCTTCCAACATTCTATCAGATGCACCTAATCGACAAAAGATACGATCAAAAGGAACTAATTTGAATGACTTCGCAGGTACTGCACATCCAATTTAAGCCAATATGATTTAGATCCCAATCAATCTGAGGAGAGTCGACTTTCCACTCATATTAGGACCTGTCAATAAGAGGGTATCAACAGAATTGACAAATTTTATTGTGTTAGGTACCCAATCAATATCTCGATTTTACAATAAACAAGGATGATATGCTTCTTAAAGGACAAATTCCTGATCTTCGTCTTCGTCTGCTGAAACGTCAAGGATTTGGGGAAATGTATTAAATTTATATTGTCTTGACACTAAAGCCAAAGAAATCCTAAATTCATAATAATATTTACAAGCAATCTGCTTCTGAGAGTAATGAAATAAGTTGCAAGAACTCTTTTCTATAAGAATAGAATTTGGTGAAGTAGTCATTAATGAAGGGTATCAATTTTTGAGATAACTCATCCTCAACAACTTTTAAATGAAAAATCTATTATTCAATAAAGTCAGTCTAAAATCTTTGAAACCCCTTCTTCTTTGATGTAATTACTAATTCCTTCGGTTTTTAATTGGATTCCAGACATTAATCAGGAATTTCAATTTAATATCGAATTTTCCCATGATGATATGAAATTTAAGGACATTTCAACTTGGTTTGCCATTTCTTCAATTCTTATTCCAAGGAATCTATTATGTCAGTCATTTTATCAAATGCTTAGTCATATTCTGGAGAGACTCCCTTGACTGGTTATGGTTCTCCATCTTGGATCTAAATGCATTTTTCCAATTCCTTTAGTGCAGTATTCAGAATGGTTATATTTTCTTTATAACTTAAAATTTTCTTAAGCTTGTTTGATTTGAAGTTATGTAAATAATTTTCAAAGACTTTGAATGTCTCTGAAGCAGCTTTGATATGTTTAATCACTTGAGTAATTTCTTTCAACTTAACCTTTCCAAAACTTTCTCCTCCAGAAATAGGAACAGCCTTGAGTTTATGTGAATGGATGGTATTAAAACATCTAATTATGTTTCTTTCCAGATCTGGAATGGATCTAATTCTTCTTTGAAATTCATCACAGGGCTCAATAAAATCCATAAGATCTCTAATGCAATCCTGTCTCTCTCTGATATGTTTGTGATTCAAAAGAGGACTCTAAACCCATTTAGTCAATAATCTCTTTCCAAAAGGAGTGACACATTTATTTAAGTATTCGAAAAGACTTCCCTTAGAAGAAACCTTGGTTTGAAGATTGACATCAAAAATCTCCAAACTTTCTAGAGCTTGAGAATCGAGATATAAATTTAATTTTTGATTGAAGTTTGAATCGAGGAACTGGAACTTTCCTCTTCTATAAACAGAAGTGTGGATTAGCAATTATCTCATGTAGCACAATTTGATATAAAAGGATTGAAGTGTAAAATAATAAGAATAGTAAGTAGATTCATCCTCATCTTAAGCAAGTTTCTTTTCAAAATAATATTGTTTCTCCAATTCTACCAATAAGGAAGGGTACTCATCACTCAAGACATAGTCCCCTTCTTAATGACTCTCTTCCATTATGATGTCATCCGGTTGACCTTTGTAAAGACCTTGATTGATGTTGGTTTCAATATGATGTTCTGGTTCAATTTTGTCAGACGGCAGAACGATGCCCTCAAAACTGCTATTTGTTGACAACTTTGTCTTTTTGCCTTGAGTCTTCTTCTTCTCTAAATATTCAACTTTAAGCTATTCGAAAATGTATTCGCAGTCTTTAAATTCTTTCTTGGAGGATATAATGATTGGATTGCAAATAGTCCTATTAATTAATCATATTTGTTTACTTCATCATTTTTTCAATTTCTGGAGTTGCCTTAGAGAGGATCACTTCTACAGGCTTTGTTTTATAAATGATAGATCTCAATTGATTGGATTGTTCATCATCAAAGAATTGATCAAGATAAAAATTATTAGTTGTACAATCTACAATGGAGACTCCATAACTATATTTATGGCCTTTGAGATTGACAGGAGCACTCGAACAAACTAAAACCAAGAGATTTCTTGATTCATATGAATCCATGTCACTTAAATCTTGCAATGTGCCTCTGCTAATTAATTATGTAATTTCTCTTTTGACTACTTCTCCTTCTTCTTTGTTCGCCACATCTGCTTTTTCTAATTACTCAACCAACATAATTTTATGTCCCTTTTCTAATAATGTTCTTTGATATATGGGTAATTGACTATCATACACAGTCAAACAAGGTCGATCCTTTCCCCAAAAGCCTAAGTAACGATTGAACATTCTGGCAATGATGATAGCATCATTATACATTACATTGATCCATCTACCACATCTAAAAAATACTAAAGAATCATAATGTGCCTTTTTGGCATTCCAATATTGTCTGAACATAGGTGATAACTTTTAATATTAGGCAATTGGGATGTCTAATGTGGATGGATCATAATTAGGATCATTTGGTCTTCTGCCTTCAGCATCTCTAATGAAATCAGGTTGGACAAAGGATGGCAACAAAAGTTCTGCTGTCCTAAAGAATTCTTCAGCATCTTTGGTTATTAATGGCTATTCAACCGGTTCGTGATTGTTGTTGTCTTCTTCTTCCACTTACTCATTTTATTTCCCCTTTTTTTTGCTTTTTGTATTCCCCTTTTTAACAGTAATGGATTTAGATTAACGAGGTTTTTTCTTATTAAATTTGTCATCATCTGAGCTTGGTTGTAATTCAGATTCTGATGATTCCTTCTCTTGTTCAGGTTGATATTCATCATCTAATCTCTTAAGTTTACCTGGTTTTTTAGTCTCTTTCTTGGTTGATTTCTTTTTTTGGTTCTTTGAGATCACAAACATATCATCATTTTCATCCTGCTAAATTTTCCGCATTTTTTTTAATTTCTTTAATTTAAGTTTAATTTTAAATTTTAATTCAATTTTTTTAATCCAATTCACTTGCATTTTCTCATAATACATTAAACATAATTTAGAATTATTATTTATAGAGAGATAGAAATCACGATGTAATTGAAAAAGAGATCAATTCTACAAAATTACAAATAGAATGTGTATAATTAAAATAATTATAAATATAATATTTTCCAATGAGTACACACAACACTAAACTTGGTTTCAGCAGATCATTAAAGGAAGTGTCACCACCTTAAAAAGAGAACCTCTCCATTCAATAAGTTCTGGAGATGTTTCATTCCCCTTATACTGAACAACTAACTGATCGAAAGAGTGAAGCAATTGTAAGATTCTGTAGACAAAGATCAGGAGGGTTCTTATTGGAAGAGATTCAAGAATTAATTGAGATATTGAGATTATCTATTGCTGAAAACAACGCATTAATGTAACCAGCCATATAAAAAATTTGCGAAACTGCCTCTGTCCCATTCATCAAATTAAGAACATCTGATTAATTGAAATTTGTTCCAAAATTAAGTGAATTCCTAGATACTTTGAAACCTGTACTCTTTAGTCCACAATAGGAATCAGGTAGTCAATAGCCTGAATTGCGAATGCCAGTTATTAAATTTTTAAAATGTTTTGCAGAAGAAGGAATTAGTGAAATAATGAAGGAAGAAGCCTCGTTTGAATAATAAAAGAAATAAACTGAATTGTCACCTTTGCAACATCTCTTGAAGAATGGAACAAGAGTAACTATATAACTCAATACTATTAGAACTTAAGAGCATTGAACCAATCCAATTTGATTGAAAACATCATCTTTACCATGTAACATTACTCAAAACAGTATGAATATTTGTTACCCTTGCTTGAATTGATTTCTAGTTGCATTCTCTATAGAGATTTAGCTGCTAAATTTTCAAATTTTGGTATTCTCAAGGATATTGTGTATGTGATATTTGAATGCGAGGATTTTAGATCATATATTGTGAAATCCTGCTTTGAGATTATTTGGAATACGAATTGAAGTAAGAAGGATTATTTAACTAATAGGCTGTTGGAGTAGCATCAATTAAGTTATTTGCAGTGGAGGATATCATTTCAGGATTGAAGAAACTATTCGAACACATTATGAAGTAGGGATATAAGTTAGAAGACAAATGCCTAAGAAATGAAATCCTAATCTTATTAAATTATCTGATGAGAGATGAGAAGGTAAATTAGAAATCTATAATTTAAGGCTTTACTATATTTTGTTGATAAGCCTCAAGCTCATTCAATTTAATAGTAGACCAATTTCTTAGAAGTCTTACTGTTCTATGCCACAATTGATGAAGTCACATTCTACAATGAACCAATCAGAACTAACTAGTTAAAAGCATTCTTTGGTACCACTAGTGAAGACTTAGAATTTAAGAAGTTGATTTGGAGTGGAATTTTGACAGCTGTATAATCAGGCAACTAAGCGGTATTAGAAGCTGTTAAGGAGTCTCCTTTCATTATCACTTTATTATTATACATAGATCCTCTTGCGAATAGTTATGCTGTTAATAGATGGTCTCCTCCATAGAAAAAAGAGATATAATTACATTGTTTAGGAATATTGGGAAATGCAATTGTATATTTAAAAGATGAGTAATAAATGAAAATATTTTTCAACTAGTTTTTATGAAAAGAATGGTCTGTTTTGTCTAACCAAGTTTCTCACTAACACTCAAGAATTGGATCACAAGGAAAGATGTTTAAAGGCCTTTAATAATGCTTCAGAATTTGAATAGAATTATAAGATCAAGATTTGTGATGAAGGTGTGATGGATAATCTTATTGAATTCTTGTAAAATGAAAATGACAATGATAATCCATTAAAAATAAAGGAACTGTGTTTCTCTATTATTTCCAATTTGTGTAAAGAATGCAATAAAAATAAGAAGTTATTTAGATAAAAGGGTGCTGTTGAATTAATGGTTAATGCATTAAAGAATCCTAATTTAGGTACAAGTGCAAGATATGCTCTCTATGCAGTCAGTGTTCTTGATTGCTTATGGAACACTATTCTAGGCAATAGAAAATCTGAAGCTATCTTTTTAGATTCTGAAGGACTCTATGTACTATTAGAATTCTTGGAAACCTGCGATGATATGCATAAGAAACTTACTCTGTCTTGCTTAAGTTATTTGATGGAAAATCCTAAGGCTATTCCATACTTTTGTGATTGGAATTCTCCAAAAACAATGATCAACAGTACTTAGTTACTGGTCAAGATTTATGTTGCGGAGGATCAGAGATTTGGAGTTAAGTATTCTGACGGCATTGTCACTAACAAACTCAGACCACTGAATCCACAAAATGATCCAAGTCTTAGATCACCCAATCAATAGGGAGATCATAAAACAAAACATATGAAATCTCTTAGAATTCAACAGGAGGATTTGGAATCAGATGTTGGCAGCGAAGCATATTTGGTAAGAAGAATAACCGAAAAATCAGCTGAATATGATTTAAGAGCAATTGTATTTGCTATATTGTATAGAACAGGATTTGATAAGAATGAATTGCTACCAAATGAGAAATAGATGGTAGAAGTTATACAACTATATCCTCATTTTAAAATAGGAGAAATCTGGAGAGAAATCAAATATGATCTAGAATAGGATAAAATTAAACCTACCTCAGATGATTACCATTGGCTTATGACATCAATTGAAGAATCAGAAGAACTAGTCATGAACTGCATGAATACTTAAGGACTTGTATCACTATTTATTATAACTTTAGATTGCAAGAGAGTTCAGAAAAGTATAAGAAGAAGAACTAACCAAATTCTACGATATTATAAGAAGTAATAAATTAACTAAATGAACAATATTCATATTAAAAGTTATATATCAGATTCTAATTTCTTGAAGTAAATAATAGCTATATATAAATAATATATCATGACTATTTAATTTAAGTGTTCAAGATTATGTGAGTTATTAGACGGTGTCAGGATTATTACTTGGGCTTTATGCCTATCTTTTAAAATATAATGTGTTTTGAGTGGCTGGATTCAGAACTGGTACACTAACTGTCTTATTTTGATTATAGTCAAATAGTTTAACAGTTTTAGATTATGAGGTTTAGAGTCCTTTCTTCTCCTTGTTTTTTTCAATTATATGGTCACTAGGATGTGATTTTAGTGATGAAGTTCCACAAATTCCCATATAGCCTATCTTGAGATAATAATAAAGTTTTATTATAATTATAATTATTATCAAAACTAAAGAAATATTGTTTATTTCAAATCGTTACAAGGGAATTTGATCTAAATCGTTTGGATGTATCATTTTTGTTATAATTTTAAATATGGCTTTTGAATCTCTGTCTATTAATTTAAGAAAGCGAAATTCTTTTCACTGGGCTTATGGTTGTCATATAGAGAGGTGATTCCTATTCTAAAAATTTAAACTAATGATTTAACCTCTTAACAATTCCAAAATCTTATCCTATAAACTAAACTAACTATCACATTCTCTTATAATAGATAACAACATAAAATCTTTGCTTATTAACATATCTCAACCTTCTAATTTTTAAAATTACCTTTGATCATGCCTTTCTATTCATATGAAATCAAACTCCTTTTATACAATTCATATAAAGCATACAGTACTTCACTTTCGATTGCCATTATAAATTAATTTATATAATACTTTTAATTCATTCTTTATTTCTAATTTAAAGATTAGAAAAAGACATATTTTCCTTTTTTTATTTATATTAATTTCATATACTGTTGACTTTGTAATTAAATTCTAAAATGAAAAATTATATATTTTGCTTGCAAAAACAATTTTCTATCACATTTAATAGCCAGTAATTTATTGTTAAAACTAATGCCAACTCTTTGTTACAACATTTTAATCAAAAATATATCTCTTGCTGATAATTATTATTTATTTTTATAGGGTATATATTTTCTTGTCATATTCCTTAATCTTAAAAGCTGGAAAAATAATCGATTCTTACTTGCTAATTAAATTTGATAGTATTTATTACAGTATATTTAATATTGAAAAGTCTGTCTAAGATTCTTAACTTAGAAACACTGTTTTTAATTCTATAATAATCTTAATCTATTATTAACATTGAATAAAATCCTTATCATAAATGATTATGAGGAAAAAAGATCAAGAAATTTATTGAATTGATAAACTCAACAGAATGATGATTTAAATTTAATGCTTTTTATGTACGAATCTGCATCCCATTTATACAGTTTTAAGGATATCAGAGGTGATATTCTAATTAAATTAAATAATGTATCAAAATTCGATTCATATATATAAATAGTGAATAAAATCTATTTTAGGTTTTTACTATCTTTAATGTTAAATAAAGAGATTAAAATTCCTTCTTCTTTCTACTAAGAAGCTTTTGAAAAAGAATTTGACTAATAGAAGGTAAATATCATAGCCATATATGAAACAAATGTGCAAATATTTTTCTCTCTATAAGTCCATAAAATCTTCAGAGAAGAGGGCATGGAACCTTCCTCCCTTTACTGATATCGATTAGAAAGTTATCTGATAATTTAGATCCCAGGAAATATCTCTTAGTCTCAAGATCATAAGGATCAGAACAAAATGAATGAAGATTAAAATAAATTATTCGTTATGAAAGGAAAAACAAAAATATTATTGAAATTCTGGTTTCTTATACTGAATATAATTAATAACAATTATTTAAAACACATTTTAATATTAATTTTATTTAATTTTAATTATTTAAAATATCATTACTAATTATTAATTAACTAAATTTAAATTAACGCCCTTATTTATAAATATAGGGTCTATTCAATAGCCTCAGATAAACTATAGATTTTCTTTAAGTTGTTAATTTTTTTATCAAATTTGTCAAGGATAGGTTTTAATTAGTTAATATAGTTTTTCCTATTTCCTAATGTTCCATTGCAAATAATACTTCTTATCAAGTAATGAATCACTCTCTTTTTGAAATATTGAGATAATTTTGTAATTTTTGAAAAGTCCAACCATTCATGTTTTTACAACATATTTAATTATAAATTATGTTGCTCTCTGTTTTAAGCATATATGTATTAAGTCTCTGAGTTCATCAGGCGAACCTGGCACTACAGATTTTTTAAACGTCCCTAAAACTTATAAGATTAAAGTAGGTTTTACTTTTTTGTAAACTCTATGGTGCGAATAGTATATATACTATACAAACTAATTTATTCCCTTATGAATTGCAACAAATCAGAAGTTAAATTCATATTTTAGATGATTGGGAAGACAAGTTACTTATATTATATATTTAAGATAGTCAGCTTCTTGTTTAAGAAATTGTCTTAAGAAAGATGCCATATCTTTGGAGACCCTTGAGATTATTCATCCATTTAATTAGTTATCAGGATTAGAAGAATGATAAGATTCATGATAATATATATTTCTAAGTTTGATTGACATAAATGATCTTAATATAACTTTACTGTTAAGAATGGAAGTCTATTAATAATTTATTTGGTAAATGCAATATGTTTTTAAATCATAAGCCGAAACGAAACTTGCATATGTGCTTTGCTTTAGACATTCATGGATTTTGAAGGGAATTCGTATTGTTTAATTAACTTAACTAATATGGCTCTTAAAATACTATAAAACAAAGACTGAAATAGTGACCAAGAGTCATTTTCCATGACTCTTGGGTACATAGTTGGTGTATAAAGGTTGCCTTCGAATCCCAGGTGGCTACTTATGAAAAAATTACCAATAATGTATTTGGTTAGAGGTGACTACTGAAAGTAGCTAAAAGGTTACTAGAACCTTCACTAATGCAGTATTTTCTACAAGCTCAAACGATTGTAATATTCCCTCTTGAATTGATTAATAATTAATAGTGAAAATAATTGTAAAACAGACAGATGTGAAGATTAATCCTAAGTCCATGCTAATGGGTTGATAGGATTGTGATATTTTTTATAATGAAATTTCGAATTATATGCACTTCATTTTGATAATACAGGTGAGGAACAAGTAGATTTAAGATTTGTGATTACATTACTAGTTGAACTAATACAGTAACTCGCATCTTTAGCTTTTATATTAGTGATGGCTTCAAATTTATTGCCAAAAGCATATGTTATCAAATATACAACCAAATAGGATGCAACTCTTAAAAAATGGATGGAATTTGTATTTAGATTACAGCTTCTTCTGGAACAACTACCAAAGGCAATCATCCATTTATTAATAATTATACTACCACCATTAGGGATCTGATTACTTGTCAAATAGCATCAAGTAGATGTAAATGGACTTCCACTAGTGCTACTATTACCATTTCTTGCTATGATCATATTTTGTAATTCTTATAATGCTTAACCAGACAAATTATCATATTTCCCAACTTGAGATGGTAAAAAATATAACTTTTACTGAAATTTTTCTGGGAAATGCACAGCTACAGATTTAAAGACCTTACTTGAATCAGATCATGAAGTTTTGGATACCATGACAAATTCATGCGGCTAATGTGATGCTGTAATCAAAACAATTTTACAAATTTGAATACTGCTGCTAATAATTGAGCAGAAAGAATTGAATAATGATATGTTTTATGTGTAAATCTACTTTTAGGATACTTAATATGTTGATGAGTTGATTCTTTAAATTTATATAAAGAAAATTAATATAAATTAACAAAAACTAAAAATTTATCAAAGTGTTTTAACATTATTATGTGATAATTAGAAATCTCTTATTCCCCAATATTCTCCAACATTCAATTATTCCATTTTAAATATCATAAAGATGCTCTCATCTGAATTATCCAAAATATAATCAAATTTAAAATTATGAGTATATTCAGTGCCTCCACAGAATTTCTTATCTTCAATATCAAGATACTCCTATTTTTTTTCATCATTAATTGTTTGTGTAAAAATAAATTAAGTCTCCCTGAGGGAAGCTTAAATTGTCACTATCGAAAAACTTATTCTTATCTGGATATGTGGAGGTAGATTTAGAAATTATCTTTTCAAAAATGAATCCTAATCTAAGGCAGTTGATGTTGATCCCCCAACAATTTATTTAGAACCACACGACCAAATTGGTGAATTTTGTAAGATAATTTTCCAAGGAGTTATTTCTGCATTAGAAAACTTTACTACATTCAGATTTTTCAAGTAAGGAAATCCATTAACAGTTAATATGAATTCTCTTATTCCCCAATAGCCTTAAATAATTAATATAAACTTTACCTGTTGAAGTATTTGGTTGGTTTGTGTAAATTTCAATAATTGCTTAAGACCTTGTATGAAGAATGGTTGTAATAGTGATCTTCATCACTTAATCAATTTTGGCGTACACTCCGCAATATGGCATATCCTTAGTTGGATCAACTGTGGATGGTATTGTATATTGGTATACAACAATGCCATCAACAGCTACATACAAAATGTCATCATTGAATTAATCAATGTAGTATATTTTAAAGGATAAACCTATTTTAACATGAGTCTTTAAATCATAAACACTTTAAAGAAAATGTTTTCCTTATAAATTATTATATCCACCAAGTAGAGCCTAATTATTACATTCATTTGGTTAAGTAAATTAAAATGGAGTCACTACCTGCCAATCCTCATCATCACTGAGAGTAGCTAATCTCAGATTATTGGCAAATAAAATGAATTTAGAATAATAACTATTTTCACATTAAGTCTCTTTAGGACCAAAGCAGGAATTCTAACAAGTAGAATGACATTTTTTAATAAAAACCTAAAAGTTTCGAATACCCCATTTCGTTTTCCATCCTATAATTTGTTAATTTGCTGATGTTTAAAACTCAACTAGGGTATCTTAATGAAAAGCTTCATATTCAACCTATGAAACCAAATCCCCTCGAGTCTTATCAATCAATTTGGAACAAATTTCAGGTGAACTTACAAAGGTTTAGAATCCAACAAGAAACATAGTCTTACCATTTAATTATCCTTGCCAATATGTTGAAGGGGCAACAGCTTATTCAAGTACAATGTGTAAATATTATATTTTAATTCTGTAATGAGGCTCTAAAATAATTGTTCTTCTCATTTTGTCCTACATTTCCAGATATCCAAGAATCTGCATTGAATTTATATCTAAATATCATTTAATATTACTTTCACTCATACAATTAGTTGATTTTTTAATTTACATGCTTGGAGATTCCTAGATGACTGACCAACCATCGCTATTAAAAATATTTCTGTCTATTTCTAACAAAGATTCAAAAGAAAGCGACCACTCTATGCATTCATACTCTTATTTGTCTTATCTTGAACAATGTTAGCAATTATTTGGACAGGGAATTGAGTATAAATTAAAATCCCTAATTCCATAGGTGACTTTCTAATTTCTAAGTTAAATTTCTTACATTAGAATCAGTTATTACACCAGCAAATTATATAAATGCAGACGAAGCACTATGAGTCATCGTGACTTCTGTATTCTATATTGCTAACCTTTTTTTTGGACTAAATATCGTATAGATATGATATTAATTTAGCCCATCAATATTAAAATACACATGGCAATCTCCAGTCGGGTATATCTAATCATTATATCTATTTCAATTCATAATATACATGTAAATTTGAAAACTAATAATCAAAGCTTTATGAGGCTTCAGATTATTATGATATTTAATCATTCCTTGATATGGCATATGAGTTCCAAATGGTTTAAAAATATTATTAGATCGGTCCCAAAATATTGAATTAAACCCAAAATAACTTTAAGTGACTGAAGGAGGTTTATCAATGCCTGATCCTTATTGCTCAACAACAACTAAATTCCAACCTCATTTCTTTTAACTAAAATACCATCAAAATCTGTGAAAGTGTCATCTGTAAATGAAGAGAATTCCAATACTTTTTGCATTTCAATAGGTTTTACAAGTACTATAATTAGAACAAAATATTGAAGAAACATAATTTTGTAAATAAAAAATAAAATGCTTCGCTTTATAAATCAAATCAAGCCTTGCATATATATAAAAAGGCAAGAAAGAGCATATATTAAAATATATAATTACAACTAAAATGGTTTCATATTATCGAATGTACAATTTTTTTCCTTAAACAATTCTTGCTTAAATGGTAGCCTAGCTGGAAAAATACATAATAAAGGGAGTTATTTGAGGTTTACTTTAGATTTCAATGAAAAAGGTTTTATAAATGAAATTTGATTTTAGCATTTAGTCTTTGTTAAAAATTTCTAATTACAACAGATATTGGAGGAAACTAATAAGTGTTCAAAGAATTGTTTAAAGTATGTGTATATTATCAAATTTAGAAAATTCTATCCAATGAAGTCAGCTGAGGGATTGTTGTCTTTGATCCTGGCATAATTAACTGAGATGTTTTTTTGAAATTAAAACGGCTTTAAAATTTATTTTGACAATCATTATTAATTATAATACCACCGTCGTCATTGGAGGAAATAGTTTAAGAATATATATATCAGCTAAAATTCAATAAAGGTAACTCATAATAGCAGACAATCTTATTACATAAGTTCTAATGTAAACTGTTTCTGAAAATGTATTAAAAATTCATTATGCTTGTCAAATAATTATAAGGAAATTTGAATATCATTTTTGGATACATAACCTCCATTTAAGAAAGTAGGTTAAAAATGAATCCTTTTAAATCAGATGACTTTCTAAAAACAAGTTTATAATAATTCGTATTATTTTTCTTTATATATAAAAATCCAATTATAATAATTTGTATATTTATATAAAAAATATCTGCCATGTAGTATTTTTTTCATAGTACAAAAAAATTTAAATTACAAAAATGCTAACAAATTTATTAAAATGACAAAGCTACCATCTAAAATAGAGTGTTATTTTTCCTTAATAATAATCTTAACAGGTTTTTCAAAATTTAGGATTGTTAATTTTTTTAACTCATTTTTATAAATCTTTTTAATAGTCTCTTTTGATATTTGGAAATTTAAAATAAACACAAAAGATATAGGTGGCCCAATAAAATGTTTAATTAATGAGAAAAATGATAATCAATGAAATATATAATATTAGTGCATCCACAATTTAATCTTCTTAAATAGCAACTGCTGAAATACTTATAATCATTTCTGTTTCCATTTATATAATTTTTTTGTTTAATGTTGTTTTAATTATAAAGATTGTGAAAACAGCATAATTAGGAATTTTTGTGTTTCTACCAAGCCTTTCTTAATTAAACAAAGAAATGGTTCTTTTGAGTTCAAGAAATTCCACAATTGTTCAGACTAAAATACCGATTGTAGATATTGACAACTATTTTAAGTCTTGATACCATTAAATTAGAGATATAACAAATAATAACACAAAGTTTAACTTCTTAGTTTAGATTATAGAATATAATTCACTTAATATTATTAATAAGAATATATTTAAATATTTCATATTCTTAGAATTTCAAATCTTGGCGAAGTCATCAAATATTTCTTCTAAACTGCTATGCATGACAAAGAAATGTATTAAATGAAACATAGGATTGAAATCCTTGTTTTTGAGACTAAATGCTATCAGTCTATAAATAATAATTCTTCCACAGATTGTAAATGGTTCAATTAGTACTTATGAAATTATGGTATTTCCTAGAAATATTATGGCAACTATATATGATTCTGAGTGCATTGGTATTCTAAAATAATAGTATGATAAATACTTCAATTAATAGAAAATGTGTAAGATTATATTTGGCAACATCAATAAAAAAATAAGAAGAATTTGACTGACAAGAGCAGCAAATCTTTTGAATCTATAAATTGCTTCTAAAATCTTATAAAGCATTCTCATTATCAAATTTATTAAAGGGTTTGCTATCATGAAGACACAAATGAGAAAAATAGAATTACTCAAAAAATAACATTCAATTATAGCAAATGTTAAGAGTAAATTGAATTCCGAGAATACTTCTAAAATCCTATAACTAAATTTAATAAATTTGTCTCTATAATAAAATAACTATAATAATTGATGAATTTGCTAAAATATTAGATTGAATTTTTTACTGTAAATTTTTCTTTGAACACTTTGAAACAACCCTTAAATATATAGATATTTTTATCTTTAATATTTTATGGATTCAAGCTGCTTTATTCAGTATTAGATCTTTCTTACTCATCTTTGTTATCTTTTTTTAGTTGAAAAATATAAATTGCTATAAATATTACTGATAATGAGCCAGTCCCAATTCTTAAAGCTTATGCATCCTTGGATGTGAAAGCAAAATTAAAATCAGAGATTTATATATTATGATCCTTGTTTGCATTTAATCCATTAAATTTTGTCGAAGTGACCAAGAAAACATCACCAAATTTATTACATTCGCAAGTTAACTCAATACTATCTTTCTTTTATACTTCATTCAAATCACAATATGAAACAATTCCAGAGATTGCTCTCACTGCACACATGATTTAATATTCTGATAACAATTCAGTATTATTTTAGCAAATTTAATAAGATCCGAATTTTGTGCCATAAATAGATGAAAAATTTTCATATAATAAATATCGATTTTGTTAGGCATTTTTCAACTTTATTAAGTAGTAGTTCTCTGGGTAGATTTAAATAGTTTAGTCATTTAATTATGATTGGATATTTCCCAAATCATTTATAAATCTTAAAGGATTTGTTTTAAAGTAAATGGATTCATATTGAATAAAGTCAATAAGAAAATCTTCTGGTATTTATTCTAAATTAAATTATTAATTAAATTTTGACTTTGTTGTTCTTTTAATTTACCAAATAATCTCTTTGCCAGTAACAGATAAAGGTTATTCATTTACAATTAGAATATTTTAGGTTTCTTCTCCAATCTAAGGTATAAACTGTAATAATTCATTTATAGCTAGATAGATAGTCTCATTTTTTAAGTGTATTGGGGACAAATAAGAATAGATATCGTCAAGACAGTATAATAAAGATATTAATAAATATTGTTGGTTTTCATACATTTGAAAGGTTTCTTCATCCCAAATATATTAGTTCTGTTTAAGTTCGCTGTCAAATTATTTTTTCATTTTAATATAGTATTTTAGAGCTAAATCTAATTTTTGAATATTTTTCTTTAAGTCTTTAAGAATCAACGTTAAATTCGCTTCTGATTCAGCCAAATTTTGTGTAATATACAAATGGTTTGAGTTAAGACCTAAACACCTTGTTTCGACTTTTTCCATTAATAATCGATTATTAGGATCCTTTTAGGAGACTAAGAGCTGTTTATATAATTTGACTGCCTAAAATTTCAATGTGTTCTCATTATTATCTTCCAAAATTAAATTTTATAGCAAATCAAGATAAATTTATGAATGCAACAAATCACATTTTTGATTAACTGCTTCAAATAACAATAATATCTTCTCTTTAAAAATCAAATTTTAAAATTAGAGTGATTTACAATTTAATTCTGCTGACTTCATAATAACTTTTTCAAATATATTAGTCACTGATCCTCCCATATCAAGAACTTATACTAGAATTCCAATTTTTGAAGAATTCATAGAAGAAGGAGTTTAAATTAAGAATTAATTTGACTCTTAAAATGGAAATAAAGTTAGGGAATTATCTGATATTCCTTTTTAAAAATCTGTTAAATCTGATTCTCTCAAAAATAGCTTCAGTTAAAATTTATATGGAGAATCATTTGATGACTCACAAACAGCAGCTACTGTAAAATTAGTCAATGCAAAATCACTTGAACGAGTTATAGTTAATTTTGAACATTAAGGAGGGTAATTGATAGATAATTTTATATTTTATAGGTTTGGCATAATATTAGATGTATATTATGCTGCAAATTTAAGATTAATATTATTACCAAACTTTAATGCTTTAATGTAATTAAATATCTTAAATTAATGTGAGTGATATTTTGGTTGTAATATTTCTATAATCTCATAATCATAAATAATTGCAATTGATAGTTCTAATAATTGAGATTTTTTTTCAAAGGGAATTAGAAAGGTAAAATTTAATTATTCATAATTATTTATTTTTCTCATTTGATACCCCTTATTGAATTCAAGTTCCTAAAATTGGAATTCATCATCAATATAAATAATAACTAAAGTAAATTTGGAAGTTTATTGCAATTTTGATGCAGTTACTGTCCATTCTTAAGTTGAAAAGGGAGAAATGGAATTCTTTCGAATGAATTGGAATGTCTCAGTTTTATTTACATTAATTATTTACTTTCGTTAATCTAAACAAGCGGAATTCCTTATTAGATCCTTACAAGCCACCTAAATGTGCAATTATGGATCGCTGTTCCATTGATATGTGTAGTCTAAATCTTGACACAATATTTAGAGGTTTAAATCTCTTTGAATATTTTAATATCCTTAATTGTTGAACTAACAAAGTAATCCAGCAGACAATATATCAATAGTGAAATTTTATTATTAACTTTCATCTGTCTTCAAATTAGTTGCAGTAATTTAAAATGTATAATTTGAGTTTGGGCTTAAAGTGTATTTTTAAAAAATGGTATAGATTATTTAACAGGAATCAGATTCATACAAAGTATTTAATATAGAAGATGACGATGATTTAGGATTTACATCAACATCCTTAATTTGAATCTAGTATTTAGGTTTATATGTCGAATTTAATTCTTCCAAACTACCAACAGAAACACCAATTTTTACAGTCTCGTAAATAAAATACGAAGGTCTTGCCTTTATATTAATTTGAGGTAGCTTTCCTGAATGAGTTTTTATAGTCAATTCAGAGTAAGAATAAGTATGGATAAAATTGTAATATTCGACCTTGAATTTCACTGTTGAATTAATAGGTAATGTAAACTTTGGTATAAATAAATTTATTTCTTATCGAAAGTTGATTGAGTTTAGGAATTAATCAAGATTAATGTTGGCTTCATTTGACTACAATTCATAGCTCCAAATTATATTATTTAGCTTTCGATTTCCATTATATTAAATTTATTTTAAATAGATTGCATTATCTCCATTAGGATTGAGTTTATGAAGGGGTACGTTATACTCAATTTTTGGAGGAAGTAGATGAACTGGCTATTGTAATTATGTTAAGATAAATTTTTATATGGCAGTTTCACACTCGATATGAGAGATGGAGTTACTTTAAAATACGATTTCATCACCAATATCAATGTTAGGGTTTTCTCCTAACAAGATCAATAATTCCTAATTATTTTATGGATTAATAAGGCAAACAGGATTAAAACCTAATGTTGATGTAGATTCTATCTCAAAGAATTAATAGCATTTATTATTTTTTAATTAAGAATCGAAGGATTTTGGATTTAAAGGAAAATCAAAATGGATTATAATCTTACTAAGGTCATCTGATAAAACTGCATTCACAACTGCTATTTGGCAGGCTAACAAATATATTTGAATAATTTACTTGAGCACCAAGGTGTAGTCTCATAAGAAATTGAGTTTGGGGGAGGAATACAATCATTTTCATCATTTAGCAATCTATTCCCAAAGCAAGATAAGCAACCATTAATATTGCATTCTAAACAAGTACTATCACATTTTAAACAATTGTCATTTAACTAATCATCAAAATATCCAGATTAACAAATACAATAAGGTTCTTGAATTCGATTACCTCTACAAGATTTACAATTTAAAGGATCTAAATGACAAGTAGCACACTAAAATGCACATTCTATAATAGATTTTAGAATAATTTGATACATTAGCAAATAATTAATCCGATTTCAAAATATCCATCAATACATTTGCAATCTATATCGATTCTTCCTGGTTTACAAGTCAAACAATTTGAGGGTTCAAATACACATGTATTACACTAAGGTGCACAAACTTTTTAAGAAATAAAATTTACTCAGGCAAGTGAATTACTCGTCTTCATAATACCCTTCTATGCAATTACATGTTGGTGGACTAATTCGCATTATATTTTAGCAAATTTGGCAATTATTTGCTTTATCAACACAGGTTTTACATTTGAAATTGCATTTTTAGCATTAAATTTATGTCCCATCATCAAAATAACCTTCTTTGCAGTCGCATTAACCAGATAGAGGTTTGCGATTTGCATTTAATTCAAAACTACAACTTAAACATTTATCACTCTAATTTACACAAGTTTAACATTTGATATGACATTCTATTCTAATATGTAGATTTACTTTAACAAATCTATTCCTAATCTTCATAAAATCCGCTAATACATGGACATTTGTGGATGATAGATTGATCAATTCTTTTGTCATCAATATCACAACTTGTACAAAGATTAGCCGAACCTTTGCAAGTTAAACATTCATTCGAGCATTTAGAACAGATCACTGTATTTTATTCAAAATACCCAGGCTTGCATAAACATTTATTTTCTTAATAAAACCGATAATGGTCAATTTCATAACAAGATAAACAATTTGAGGCAGAAGATTAACAGGTTTAGCAAAGATTATTGCATTTTTAACAGATTTCGATTCCAATCTCATAATAGCCATCGATGCATAAACACTTATTTGCTTTTAACTATCTTTTTAATTCACTTGTGCAAGTTAGACAATTTGTATTTGTATTTTCACAACTCTCACATGTTAAGTCACATTCTCATAATAATTAAATATTATTACTTGAACAGTTTTATTAATTGTTTTCATAAAATCCATTTTTACATAAACATTATTTGGATTCTTCATCAAAATATCTGGTTGTCAATCGACAAGATATACATTAACTACTATTTTAACATTCTAGACAAGTGATATTACACTCTATTTTATAATTGTATTATTACATAGACAGGAATTAGTTAAATAATCAAAATAATACTATTATTAACATAGACATCGATTATTCACTAAAATTAAATTAATACTAGTATTGCAAGTTAAGCAATTATCAAATAATAATGAACAAGTTAAACAGGAACTTGCACATTGTTCGCAATTCTGATTAATTGGATTTTCATAGTATCCTTGTATGCATTCACAAGTATTTCCGGTTTTGAATTGTCTAAAATTGGTTATTGAACATGTTAAACAATAATCACTTTAATTAACACAGGTTACACATATCTTACTACATAATTTACATTATTTATCATCATTTGATTCATACATTCCATTAATACAAATACAATCTTTATCTTTCAAGTATCGATATTTAACGCAAGAAGTGCATTAATTTATGAATTAGGAGCACGTCTCGCACTTTTAATTACATTATTAACATGTTCCATCAACTTCAATAAATCCTACATAACAATCACAGGTTCTTGTTTTTAAGTTAATTTCTCTAAATTAATTAGAATCACATGAGGTACAGTTATTTGCTGTGTTCAAACACGTCATACAATTTGAATTACATTCTAAACAAAGCTATAAGCCAACTTCATAATATCCTAATTGACATTTACAATTTGTTTCTATTTTTCTTGTTTATGGACATGATAAACAGTTATAAGATTATTCAATGCAATTTAAACATTAAATATCACATTTTTAACATTATATTGATTAACCATCATCAAAATATCCAAATAAACATTTACATGTCTAATTATAAATAACTCGATTTGATGTAAAAACATCTATACAGGAAACACAGGAATTCGAAGAATATGAATTGCAACTTAAGCATGTATAATGACATTTTTCACAAGTTTCAACTCCATTATCATAATATCCAATATTGCAATTACAAGAATAAAATAGTTCATCATAGGTTCTGTTTGAGTCTTTTGAGCATAATTCACATTTAGTATTAATATTATTACATCTAAGGCAGGAATAATGGCATTCTAATGATATTAGAAAATGATAAATACCCTAACAAACTTCATTTTATCCATCCTCAAAATATCTTTCTATGCATTAGCATCGATTAAAACCTGAAATCAGGTATCTTAAACTGTTATCCTGACAAGAAATACAACTTTCAGCATTCTTAGAACATTCTTTACATTTATAACTACATTCTATTTAGTTATAATCTGTTAATACTTTGACAGATAGGTAATCCTGCATCGAAATATCCTTCCTTACAAACACAAGTATTTCCAATTTAGAATCTGTTCTCAGTATCCTTACAAGTTATGCAATCTTATTCAGTCATTCCTTGACATATACCGCATGAATAGTGACATTCTATTTATTGATTGAATTCATACTTTCGCATTTAATCATTCCATTATATTCAAATGTACTTATCATAGCTCCTTATTACTTAGTAATACATTTGCAAGTATTTCCAACTAAATATCTATCGCTATAACATGATGTACAATTTGAGGAATCCTAAACACATTCATAACAGAATGCTCTACAAACTAATTTTTAGATAGAAAAGAGTACTTCCACATTATGGAAACTCTATTTCATAATAATGTGGTTAGCATAAACAGGAACTAATTTTAAGTTCTCTATGGGCAGAAGAATCGCAGGAGAGACATTCATTTTAATCCTTACCATAACAGGATTTACATTTGAAATGGCAATCTATTTTATATTAATTTCTACTTTAACAAATTATTTCATTTTCTTAATCAAAGTACTCTGATGGGCAAGGGCATCCTTTAATAAGATCAAATGCACGTCTTGAATTTATTGGACAACTCAAACATTACTCTGGTAATATTTCGCATTTTTCACATTTATATGAGCATTCTTAGTAAGTAATATTTAAGATATTTACTTTAACACTAAGAAATTCCTGGTTCTTCATAATATCCATCAATACATTTACAAATATTGCCTTTTATTATTCTAAAGCTAAACTCCAATGAACAAAAAATGCAACTATCTACCTTCTCATCGAAACAGTTGTAACAAGAAAAGTGGCATTCTTTTTATTTAATTTTTCTTACTTGCACATTCTAATTATCCAATATCGTAATATCCAGGAGGACAAACACATGATGATAAATCAGACTACCTATATTGTGTGTCGCATGTTAGACAGTTTGAAGAAAGAGGACCATAACATGTTTTACAAGTTTCATCACATTATTGGCATTCTAATGAAAATCCGTCATCAAAAGCATTAGGTGCAGTACAGATGCATTCAAAGAAACTACCTGATTAAATAGATGTCCTACTCGATGGACATTCTAAACATGCATCCTTTTCAGTACTGTTTGCACATGAAAGACATGAATTATGACACCCTATTAAATACGTTAATTTATTACTTTAACATTCTATATTATCTGTATTATCATCATAATATGATTATTTACACAAGCATTCTCCTAAAGTTGTTAATTCTCTATTCGACCTAATTAAGCATTGTGTACAATTTGTAGATTCAACCCCATTACAAGTTCCACATGTATAATGACAAACTAAGTCTAATTTATGAAAATACGTGCACAAACTACCAAAATTCCAAAATCCCCATAATTTTCTTTGCAATCACAATAAAAATTTTCAGAAACCTCACGATTTTATCCAGGTATACATGTGAGACAATATTGATTATCAGTATCATCAGCAGCTTGAAAACATGTTTCACATTTTGGATGGCATTCTAGAATCAATTTTATTTAATACTTCCACATTATGCTTCTCTAATTGCAAACTCGCCATATCCAGTTTTGCAAGGACATAAATTCGCATTTTGAACTCTGTTTGAATAGCTTTCCTCTATACATTCAGTACAGTCTGCATATGATGGACCATTACATTTTTGACAAGATATATCACAAACTAGAATGATTTAGCAGCTATACCGATGCATTTTTGATCAAGGTTCCCAGGATCATATGATCGAGGTTAACAAATACATTCTGTATTCACTAAAATCCTATTTGATCCTGGTTTACATGAAATACAGGAATAAAAATCATTATCTTCGCAATCAAAACAATAGCCATCTGAGCAAGGTGTGCACATTTCTTATATCAAACCATGGTATGGTTTACACACACAGATACCATCTATTGCAATTCTATTCTCCCAACCAATGCAAGAGGTACAATAATTTAGATTAGTTTCCAAGCAGGTAGAACAACTTGAATTACAGTATCCTATTATTTATTTACATGTGCCATCTGATTGTAAAGCATACTATGCCTAACAAGCTATACAATTAATTCCTTAAGAATCCAATAAAATACAATATTTTATTTAATATTTCGATATTATGGCTAAATGATATTTTAGGTATTTATTACTTTCACATTTTTTCGATTGCTTGTTATACAAAAATCCTGGATCGCATAAAGTACATGTTGTATAATAATATATTTATCCACCACTTTGATAATTAATTAACATTGATTAACTTGAGAAGCCGCAATTCCAATCCAATTAAAAACAACGATATACATTGTACTATGTATACACTTTTTTTAGAATATAGCCTTGGAAGCAGTTGTAACAATTGTAATAAATTGGAGAATCCATACGCTAACCACTTTTACAAGGAACAATATCTTAAATAAGTATAATGATCTAAATTACTATAGCAGTTTTAATTATAATAGTAATATCCATCTATACAACTGCTAGTAAAACTTGTAATTCTGCCTGTTTAATCTAGAATACAACCCTCAAAAGGTCTACAATCTATATTTGAATTATAATTTACCAGTGTAACAAAGATAACTTTTAAAACCTACAACCCCTTTCTAACAAGAACTGCAGGTTCCATCAGAATAACATGACCTACATGAGCTAAATGGGCAACCTGTTATAAATATTTAGCTTACTTCTTGGAGGCAATGCATATTAATCATAATACATTTTTGTATTTTCGCAATTAATTCCGCTTCCATAGAATGGAAATTTGCACAATTAACATTTTTATGATCCTTTCTAAATGCCCATTACCCAGCAGAATCTATTTTCAAATTAGAAACCTAATTTATAAGTTTACTTACTTTCGCAATAATATTTATAATGTCCATCAGAAAGCAACTCCATCACCAATGTAGCATAGCTACTATCTTTTCCACAAGAAAAAATGCTTTTTTCTATACTTAAAGACCACCCCGTTCTATTTTGGAAAGGTTAGAATCTGGGATGGCATAAATGTTATGTACCATTTACCTCTATTTTTACTTCTATTTCCGTTATACCCCTGCAAATCCAGGCATAAGCTTAAATAGTGACAATATTTACAAACACATTCATGTGGATGCATGTCTGGCAAATATGTGTGTAATTCAGGACATTTACGAGAAAATGATCCAAAAATTTAGTTCCATGCATTTTAATCTCTCCACCCAACTATTTGTATGATGAGTCGAAATCCAATTAACCACATAATCATGTTTATTTATTTATCATACTTCAAAATGATCAATTATTTAAATATTTAGGGAAGTTTTGTCTGAAAATTTAGAAATACTACCAACTTAATAAATATTTTATATCGTTTCTTCTTACTTTTTCTTCTTAGAAACTTCTAGTAGTGATGAGATACTGGGGTGGAAGTTGATATCTCTGTAAAAACAAATTCAAATTTCTATTTTAAGAATAGAAAAATTTTACTTATGATTGATCGTATGATATGAACATAAGGAATATGTTTTAGCTTTTTATAGGCCCTAGTACCAATTATAACTGTAATTTGGTTCTTTGAAAAGAGAGCTAAGATTCATTCAAAAGTTGAATCCAACTTTAATAAAAAGAAGGTAGTCTATTTTATCAGAATCTTTTTTAGAAGAGTTTGCCATTTTTTACTCAATAATGAATTATGAAATTTTTTAAAATATCCTTTTGAATGAATTGAAACCCTAAAATATTTAATATTACAAAAAAAAATATCAAAGAAAGACTTTTAATTTCGGTAAACATAAAAAATACTCCACTATTTTTTTAAAAGAACTGAATGAAATAAGGTAAAAAATGTTTTGTCTTTCTTATTCAAGTTAGTCTTTATATCTACTGCTACTCATTTACAAGAAACATCTGAGTTTTTTTATATATTTTAGCATCTCATTTATTGAAATATGAGCATTTACCTAATTTAGCATTATAAGATTCACAAGTATGTTCATTATAAGAAGTGGCATTAGTAGCAGTAGCAGAAGTTCATTTATATTTACTTTTTGCTAATTGACAAGTAATCTGATATGATACTTAATAGCAGCACAATTATTTCTTGATTTACATTTTGATGTTAGTACTATTAGTAATGGTATCGCAAAATCTTAAATCTACTTATTTGTCATTTGTATTATTTAATGAATTGCATTTAATTTGAAATGTCAAAGTAATCAATTATCACAATTTTCATCCTATTGAACTTCATTTATTTATGCCTTTATCCATGTAGTTGCGTACTTAATACATGTCGGGTTACAAGTTTTACCATTAAATAGCATATGATTAATTGAGAGTGGAGAGTCTAAAGAGTGGTTCCTTTGAGATATTAACAATCCAATTCTCTACAAAACTTAGATGTTCATCCCTTATGTAATTATATGTTGAATGAAATTATATTAATGAGTTAGTATATGCGCCAAATTGTGAACATGATGGTATTCAATAAAAGAAGATATCCTGTTTAGGCTGTCTAGCATTTAGAATGAGTTGTAAGAGCTGAAGGGCAGCTAACATTTTTAGAGTTAATTTGTTGGAAACAAATCAATAATTTACAAGACGCATGCTCCTTACGAACCATCAATATTAGGGTAATCAGATAACCAATTAATGATTCATCAGTTCGTTAAACTAAAGCATCAATATCATTTGTAAAAACCTTTTAGATTAGGGTAAATTTATCACCATTACAACTGCACTTTTTCCTTAAAGGTCTTATCTTTTGGTCTAGAGCATGCTGTCTTGATAAGCAAAGATAGCTTCGGTTTCATCCCTGAGCAAGAAAAATCATCAGTTAGTTATAATCTTCATTTACCTTTGTATTACACTTATTTCCATAATCAATAGTTGATCAATACAAAAGAATATTAACTCTTAAAATTTGTTATTTAGTTTTAACTAACTCGTGGTAAGATTTAAGTGAAAATATGGCATCTTTTACAGATACATCTATAGAAGAAATAGAAAAAAATTGAAATAGTGTGATATTATAATGATTTAATATGTCAATTTATATAGCATAACCAATTAAGTAGGGATATGTTCTTACAAATGATAATAGAAATTGGGTAGCATGAAATTTTAAATGATTAATATATATGACTCTAGTAATGTTAACTGATGAAAATGTACTATTTTTTTTCTTTAATTAAATCAAAAATTGTATGTTGATGATAATTTCCATAGAAATAACTTTGAAGAACAAATATTTTAAAATATTTATTTTGTAAAATACATTTTATGTATTTTATACATTCTAAATAAACCACTATATGGAATGAACCAATATAAACTTCATTCTCTTCTTACATATTCCCTATATCAGTTCCGACATTTGTAGTGGATTACCTCCCTAAATTTAAATTTTGAGAATATAATAATATAAGCAATTCTTTAGTTTAGAAATTATCACCATATAAATTCAAAATTTTTTTAGTTTTACTTATAGAAATAAATTTAGAACAAAGTCCAACCTTGAATAATGGGATTTCAGAAAGCGAGCAATTTTATATACATATAGACTAAATTCAATGTTAGAGGAAATATTAAAATGTACCAAATTTACTCTCTTCTTGTTTTTTTAATTATTATAATAAGTTCTTCCAGGGATATTTAAAGATGGTCGTTAAGAATATGATTGTAAATCAACAGCGATACTTTATTTAATTAGCTTTCATCTTTTTGATTGGAATTCTTTGGTTCTTTTTTTGGTGTGATCCTTTATCTTTTTCTTTTTTATAATTTTCAAAAAAATACTTCAATAAATCAACATTTTTTGGGATTTATTCTTCTGTAATTCTAAAGTTCTATCTCAGTGAGGAGTCTGTGGTCATTCTAGAAAACCTTTAGATTATTTTCTATCTTTCTTAAATTCAAAAATGATTAGTGTAATTTCTTTCATTCTTATCATTTACACTTCAATGAAATATTATGATGTTTTAAGCAATATCATTCATATATCTATGTTAAATATTTGAGTATTAAAGTCTTCGCAGATTATGAGTTGCTGATTGCTATTGATTTAATCTATAATTTAATTAACTTTATTCCAATAAATTTTTAAAATTAATTATATTCTTTTTGATAATCAAATAAGTGTTATCAATATTAAGTCTAAATTAGGTGATAATATTTAAACCACATAAACGTCTGAATGAGCACAATAATTGAGCCAAAATAATAATATGTTATAAACCTACTATAAAATTTGGTATGAATTCTTATTATTTTCCCCAGAGTGATTTTGACTTTTTTATATAACTTAGATATTGTTATTTGATGTATTTTTTAATTATGTATTCCATATTTCTTGTAAGCAAATTGCATAAGACTGAAATTTTGGATTTTATGGAATGTAAATTTTTAAATGAAACTAACATATCATCTGAGGATTTGAAGTTAGTATTAATATTATTATGAATATACCAATTTAAATTTTCTTTCGTTTTCTATTTGGCCACAAATATTGCTGTATTTATTTTAAATTGAAGTTCTTCTTGCTTGTTTCTGGTGGATACAATGCACCGCTGATTTATATGGTCATAATCGATATTGTTGGCATATTATGTTTCTTGGCTCCCATTAAAACTTCCTTTGTCTGATAAACCAGCTTTGGATATATTTTTATGTCATTAGAATTATAGATCACTCCTTTGATTCTTACCTTGATTTTATGAAATAATTTTTCTGATTCTGCTGATTTTATATTATTAATCAAGGATTGTCAATTTGGAGCTTAGTAGTTTTTAATTCAGGTGTTTTAAAAGACCATTTGTTTTCTAGTTTTAAAATTCTTCTTCTTAAAATACCTTTCTTTTTTTTCTCATGAATTATGGTGGCTGCTTTTTCTTAAATAATTATTTGAACATTATAAATTTTTAATATTGTTTATTTAAACCATTTAAGATAAGCAACCTGATTTATATATTATATAGGCTATTATACGGTACTATTGTCCATTATTGTTATTAGACAAGGATGGCATATATAGCACTCAACATTTCTCATTTGTTTGAAAATGTTTCTAATTGTTGGTTAAGTACATTTATGAATTCCACCACATTATGTGTAATACCCATAAGATTTTGAAGTCTTACAATTATGAAGCAGGAGCAGCATTAATTTTAGGGACTCAATGATTAGCTAATCTTAGCGATTGCTAGTTATTAAATCTGGTCGGTGTAGATCATTTTCCTACTTTTGAAAGAATAATGATCTCTTCCATAAAATAAAATGAAAATTAAAACTCTCATATATGACCAACTCAATTCTTTCAAATTTCATCAATCCTTCTTTAAGAATGTTTAAACAGGCTTGTTACCAAGTATGAATTATACCTTTTTAAAAAATATTCTGAATCTTATATTAATCTAATCTTACAGATTTATGAATTGATCTTTCAAATATTTCCAATTGTTTTAATTGTATTCAATTCAAGTGACTTTGTTGATAAAACCATAAATTTTGATTGACACAAAATCTAGCTGCTTTATATAATTTATTGGACAATATATCATTAATTGGAGAATATTTTAGTAGTGGTAATATCTCTTTGAATGTAAAATCATCTTTTATAAAAAATTTTGGAAACCGAAAATAAATGAAAATTATTTTTGTAAATTATTCTCTTCAATACAAGGCAACCCAAGATATTTAGATAAAATCATTCGTAATCACCTACTGATTTTTTATTTCCAACATCAAGGTTTTCTTATCTGAAAACTGAAAGTTGTTTCATCAATACATGCAAATTCTCTCTCTATTTTTTGACATCGTTAATATTCGACAACGCTTTTTTTCGTTCCCAAAATTTTACTTATATATAATTTATTTAGAAATATAATTCAATAATATGAGATTTGCTTTGCTGGGCAGTTCTAAATTCAAACACCTTAAATTCTCGATATCAAAATAAAAAGCTGAAACCCATGGTCTTGAGTGAAATTTACTGAAGCCAAAATGTCTTGGAGAGATTTGCCCCAGTTCTCCTAATACGAAGAAAAAAATGTAAAAATTCCAAGAAACTCTTAAAAACTTTGCTGATTACACAATTTCTTTCAGTCATAAATCCAGTTATTGTTGTTTATTCTTCATAACTTAAATTTTTATTTGATTTAATAATATTGTTTAACTGATAGATCGAAGGCATTGGCAGGGAAAGTTTTTCTTTTTTCACTTTTTTAATTGATCTTTAAACCTGATGTGATGTTCTGCAGCATTTTTAATTGACATAAAGTTAGAGCTCTGTGATTTATTGCTTCTAAGTGAAGTTCTTTTTAAGATTGTTTAGACTTTAAATGTTAAAATAAGAAATTTGAAGTTATTCTACTTGTAAATGATTTTTTTCAATTTATTATTTAAAATCTAAAAATGTTTAAGAAGATTAAGAATATTGAATAAAATAATTTCGGTCCCAATTTAAGAAGTTAATTTGGTTCATGGATCAATTGATTCGGCTTGTTTGCGTTGATCATAAAAGGATATTATGCCAAAATGAGAACTTCTATTCAAAGTTATGATAGATAAAGTATTTAGTATCAAGCGAACAGAAGGAAATGCTTATAATTAATTATACAATAAATTACATACTCTTAAATTTGATAATCATCTTCCTGATAAAATTCTGGTAATCTATATATTATTAACAATAGCGCCAAATGATTTCTTATTTAACCATTAATGCCGGAGAGCTAATAAGTAGCTCCAATCTAAGAATTAAAATCAATTATTGTATCTTAGGATGATGATGCCAGATTTCAATAATTTTCATTTTATCAAAAAAATAAGTAGACGATTTTAAGAAAGTAAAATGCTTGAATTTCATAATTATATTTTTATATATAAATACGTAAGATTTTAGACTATTAATTTTGGTAAAATATTGATCTTGTCTAATAACACACAAAGTATAAATATAATTTAAAAAACATCTTTTAATACCTTTCAGGTCAAGTTTTTAAGTAGGAGATGAAGGTCATTTAGATATTTAGTTTGACTAGTTTGACTCAATATTCAAAAGGATGACTAATGTCACCATTGATACAATAAATCAATCTCATATAATTTCATCCACCTTACAAAAATAAGATGAATAATTTGGAGACAATTGATAAAAAGCATGCATCTGTGAAACATTGATTAATGGAGACAGTTGAACCAATGCTCCTTAGCATTTTGAATGATCATATTAATTAAGAATGCATCTAATATAATTTGCTAAGTTGAAAATCTCATGGTTAATGTTAATAAAATTAAATACATAGCCAAATGGGGCAAAATAAAAGTTTGTTGACTTTGGGATTTGAAAAGCGAATAACTTAGATACTTAGGAGTTTAGGTTAATATAAGAGGATATATAACTGAACAATTTAGATGCTTTAGGAAAGCAGCCATATCTAGAGCAAAACAACTCTCAATGATAAAAAAGGCATTTCTTTTAAAATGTATGGTTCTCGAAGAATAGCAAGGTAGCGCAATCGCAAACACTCTAAAGGGATTCATTCAAGAGAATGTTGGGACACACACACATATGATATTTTCCATATGAATTAATACATAAACTATTGGACTTATGTGGACATATTAATTTAATTGGTTATTTTAAGAGAATTTATCGACAAGGAAAACATTCAGAAGGAGAACCTAACTAACAACGACTAACAAAGGATGTTCAAGGTAAGTAGCAGTTTCTATGGCAATTGCTTTGAAATTTAATAGAGAGGTTAATTTTTATTCAGAAAAATAAGGAATGTTGAGTATCTTAGATTGAAAATTTATGAGTAGATATCAGTAAGGGAATTTCCTAATCTGGAAATTCACTAATATATATAGATTTAACAATGTTTGGAGATAAAAAGCTCCAAAACTGATAAATTATATTTCTATCTATGGTATTTCGAAAATATTTTCTGATAAAAACTGTAATCTGAAGATGGAATTAATTTCACAATTTATAAATTAAGAATAAAAATTCAGCCATTATAAAATACTTTGATCCCTTTATAATTAATGATTTCATTGACTGTGTGAGGTAAGATTGAAAGAATCTTCATATTTTTTATATAATTGATCAAATTGATTTTTAAAATACTTGTTTAGAATTGTGTGCTTATCAATTTTTAACATACAATTTTTTTTATATAGATCAATACATAATTTTTGAGATTCAAAAAACGATTAGAAATTTACAATTAAATGATAATATGAATTGTTTAATTTTCCAAAAAAAGGAAAGTAAAGCCTTCTTTTAAAATAATAATTTTATTACTAAAAATTTTTGGAGGAATGCATAAATATAAAGGAACATTTATACGATTTATTATGTTTAATATATAAATTCACCAAAATATTTTCTTAATAAGGGTTAATCCACCTCCTATTATTGCACCCATTCCAATAGCCGGTATTGCAATTGCTGCTACTCCTGACATTGCTACTCCTTAAGCTAAAGCAAATGCACTTCCAGCTGCCACACTTCCGATACTGGCTTATGTAGCTGCAGCAAGGCTTCCTGCAACTGGTCCAATGGAAGAAAAACCATAAAGTGCCAACCCTCCCTGAGCTATAGCAGCACCAGCTCCACCTACAATTCCCCCTACGCCGATTCCATCCTTAATATCTTACAACAAATCAGATTATTATTCTTGCTTTTTCTAATCTTATTATTACTCATATTGTTTTTATTAATCTTTTTATTCTTCTACTTCTTATACTTCTTATACCTCTTCTACCTCTTATTGCGCTTATTATTATTATCCTCTTTAATCTTATTCTTATTATTCCTCTGAGTGCTATTAATCTATTTATTAGTATAACTCGCATTGATCTTATTGTTATTTTTCTTATTTCCCTTATTTTTCAAAATATTCCATGTATTATTATTATTAATATCCTACATTTATATAGACATAGAATTATAAATGTCATAGGTGTACAAAATTTCATACAATAAAATTTAAGAAAATTTTTAATTTTAGTGATTTAATCAAGACCTAAAATTGGTTGTTTCTTTTCTAATGAGTCAAAAACTATTTTTACTCATAAAAAATGATGGTTTATTTATATATAAAAGGTTTTAGAATTTATTTTAACTTTTATGAAAATTAACTTAAAGAGATTCTTTTTTAGTGGAATATCTAATTTTGATGAATAATTTCTACGAATAAGTAGAAATTAGAAATTAGTGAAGGGATTGAAAGATTCCATTATGTTTAATGAAAATCGATAGTTTTATTTATTATTGAAAGTTCATAGCAATTTAATAAATGTAATATATTGTGTTTTTATTTCCTCCTTATTGGACCCTGTTAAAGATTCTAAACTGATATCCATTTAAAGAAGGATTAATAAATTTCAAATTTGGTTTTTATTATAAACGCAAAATTATCTGCATGTTGATAGTAGGTAGAGCGGATTTAGATGTGTTAAGTATAATAACTAAAATATTAATTTAAGTAGAAATGATATTGTATTTTTGAAGAAATATAAATATTTACTGAAAAAAATATAAATTTTAATCACGATCACTATCACTATCAGTCATTATTTATGCATGATTTCTAATATCTTTTTATTAAAAATCAAATTGTACTTTAAAATATATATGTAGAAAATAACCAGAATTTATTGAAGCTTATTCGTAAAATCTGTTCTCATAAACAACTCTGTAAAATCAATTCATTACCACTTTCTGTCGAAAACTTAAAATTCATTTATAAAGCTGTATAAGTCAAAATTGGTGCTAAAAAGTATTGTTCAACTCCTACTATTATGTTCAGATAGAAAAACAAGTGAACTGTCTATAGAATGGTATAACATAATATTTATGGTAATTAAAAACAAAGGTTTACTTATTATTATTCCTTAATATTAAATATTAAACTTTGTATTGTATGGCTTCCCTTTTGATAAGTTAAAATATTCTATAATACAGAATTTATCCTTTGAAAACAACAACAATACATTTACTTGGCCTCATCATTTAGGAATTTGATAAATGTTTTATAAAATGAATAATTATACTACTTTAGTGATTCAGTCGTAATTCAAATATTATCACTAAAATGTTACACATATCTTCATTTAACCTTAATCTTAAAATAAGTAATATTTTCTTCACATCAGCTCCAACTTTCACTCCTCACTTTTAAAAACATTCAATTTCCCATTTAAGAGAGAATATAAGCTAGCTTTAGAGGACTACAAAAAAAGACCAAATTACATCTTACATCTTAGGTAGAAATTGATAACTATTTTGATTTCTTTAATTTTAAGTTTAACTCTACATATCAATTATAACACACTTCATATTATACGGATGACTTTAGGGAATAACATACAAGGATGTTGTTGTTTGATAATATTATTTCTATTCTTAAAATAGAAATTTGAATTTGTTTTTACAGAGATATCAACTTCCACCCCAGTATCTCATCACTACTAGAAGTTTCTAAGAAGAAAAAGTAAGAAGAAACGATATAAAATATTTATTAAGTTGGTAGTATTTCTAAATTTTCAGACAAAACTTCCCTAAATATTTAAATAATTGATCATTTTGAAGTATGATAAATAAATAAACATGATTATGTGGTTAATTGGATTTCGACTCATCATACAAATAGTTGGGTGGAGAGATTAAAATGCATGGAACTAAATTTTTGGATCATTTTCTCGTAAATGTCCTGAATTACACACATATTTGCCAGACATGCATCCACATGAATGTGTTTGTAAATATTGTCACTATTTAAGCTTATGCCTGGATTTGCAGGGGTATAACGGAAATAGAAGTAAAAATAGAGGTAAATGGTACATAACATTTATGCCATCCAAGATTCCAACCCTACCAAAAAGCAACTGGGTGGTCTCTAAGTATCGAAGGAAAGATTTTTTCCTGTGGTAAGGATATTAGCTATGCTACATTGGTGATGGAGTTGCTTTCTGATGGACACTATAAATATTATTGCTAAAGTAAGTAAATCTATCAATTAGGTTTCGATTATGAAGATAGATTCTGCTGGGTAACATACTTGTTGAAAGGATCTTTTAAATGTTAATTGTGCAAATTTCCATTCTATGGAAACGGAATTGGTTGCAGAAATGTAATAACTTAATACGATTATAGTGTATTACCCCCAAGATGTAATTTATAATATCTATTAAAGGGTGCCCATATAATTGTATAAGTTGTTATTCAAGTTCTGAATGCGCTAGTTGTAAATAAGGGATGTATACTGTTAAATCTAATGCATGTTCAGTTGGTAAATTATCATTCAAATAAAGATTGCAGACCTTATAGATATTGTGAGTTAGATGAATATGGCAATATTAAATATTATTCCTCCAATTGTATCGATGGATATTATTATTATGATGGATACTGCTATTGTAATTTAGATCATTATAATTATTTAAGATATTCATCCTTGTAGTGACGCTTATCATGATTCTATTTCTAGCTACACTTGCAGATCTTGCTCATAAGGCTATATTCTAAAAAAAGTGTATACATAGTACAATGTATATCGTTGTTTTTAATTGGATTGGAATTGCGGCTTCTCAAGTTAATCAATGTTAATTAATTATCAAAGTGGTGGATAAATATATTATTATACAACATGTACTTTATGCGATCCAGGATTTTTGTATAACAAGCAATCGAAAAAATGTGAAAGTAATAAATACCTAAAATATCATTTAGCCATAATATCGAAATATTAAATAAAATATTGTATTTTATTGGATTCTTAAGGAATTAATTGTATAGCTTGTTAGGCATAGTATGCTTTACAATCAGATGGCACATGTAAATAAATAATAGGATACTGTAATTCAAGTTGTTCTACCTGCTTGGAAACTAATCTAAATTATTGTACCTCTTGCATTGGTTGGGAGAATAGAATTGCAATAGATGGTATCTGTGTGTGTAAACCATACCATGGTTTGATATAAGAAATGTGCACACCTTGCTCAGATGGCTATTGTTTTGATTGCGAAGATAATGATTTTTATTCCTGTATTTCATGTAAACCAGGATCAAATAGGATTTTAGTGAATACAGAATGTATTTGTTAACCTCGATCATATGATCCTGGGAACCTTGATCAAAAATGCATCGGTATAGCTGCTAAATCATTCTAGTTTGTGATATATCTTGTCAAAAATGTAATGGTCCATCATATGCAGACTGTACTGAATGTATAGAGGAAAGCTATTCAAACAGAGTTCAAAATGCGAATTTATGTCCTTGCAAAACTGGATATGGCGAGTTTGCAATTAGAGAAGCATAATGTGGAAGTATTAAATAAAATTGATTCTAGAATGCCATCCAAAATGTGAAACATGTTTTCAAGCTGCTGATGATACTGATAATCAATATTGTCTCACATGTATACCTGGATAAAATCGTGAGGTTTCTGAAAATTTTTATTGTGATTGCAAAGAAAATTATGGGGATTTTGGAATTTTGGTAGTTTGTGCACGTATTTTCATAAATTAGACTTAGTTTGTCATTATACATGTGGAACTTGTAATGGGGTTGAATCTACAAATTGTACACAATGCTTAATTAGGTCGAATAGAGAATTAACAACTTTAGGAGAATGCTTGTGTAAATAATCATATTATGATGATAATACAGATAATATAGAATGTTAAAGTAATAAATTAACGTATTTAATAGGGTGTCATAATTCATGTCTTTCATGTGCAAACAGTACTGAAAAGGATGCATGTTTAGAATGTCCATCGAGTAGGACATCTATTTAATCAGGTAGTTTCTTTGGAATGCATCTGTACTGCACCTAATGCTTTTGATGACGGATTTTCATTAGAATGCCAATAATGTGATGAAACTTGTAAACCTTGTGAAAGCCCTATTTCTTCCAAACTGTCTGAACATGCGACACACAATATAGGTAGTATGATTTATCATCATGTGTTTGTCCTCCTGGATATTACGATATTGGATAATTAGAATGTGCAAGTAAGAAAAATTAAATAAAAAGAATGCCACTTTTCTTGTTACAACTGTTTCGATGAGAAGGTAGATAGTTGCATTTTTTGTTCATTGGAGTTTAGCTTTAGAATAATAAAAGGCAATATTTGTAAATGTATTGATGGATATTATGAAGAACCAGGAATTTCTTAGTGTTAAAGTAAATATCTTAAATATTACTTACTAAGAATGCTCATATAAATGTGAAAAATGCGAAATATTACCAGAGTAATGTTTGAGTTGTCCAATAAATTCAAGACGTGCATTTGATCTTATTAAAGGATGCCCTTGCCCATCAGAGTACTTTGATTAAGAAAATGAAATAATTTGTTAAAGTAGAAATTAATATAAAATAGATTGCCATTTCAAATGTAAATCCTGTTATGGTAAGGATTAAAATGAATGTCTCTCCTGCGATTCTTCTGCCCATAGAGAACTTAAAATTAGTTCCTGTTTATGCTAACCACATTATTATGAAATAGAGTTTCCATAATGTGGAAGTACTCTTTTCTATCTAAAAATTAGTTTGTAGAGCATTCTGTTATGAATGTGTTTAGGATTCCTCAAATTGTACATCATGTTATAGCGATAGATATTTAGTTGGAAATACTTGCAAATGTATTACTAAGTAATAAGGAGCTATGATAAGTACATTTGAATAT